TATCTACCGTGTTATGGGGGGTCTACAGTATTCCATTCAATTGAAAAGTATATATAATTCTTATTAAATAAATAAATTTATTTCTTTTATTGAACATATCTTTTCTTTAATCTTGCTTTTATCATATCGAGATGATTATATTTATTAATATTTTTCCATTTGTCATAAAGATCACGCGGTGTTCGATTGTAAAGTCCTCCATCTGATATAATAAACTTCCAGTGGCCAGTTCCATATTTCTGAACGCCAGCAACTAGTAATTCTTCTTCTTCCATTGACCATGGCATCTACAAAGAGAGGAATATTGTAATGTATTGCTTATACCAAATAATTGATATATTTAAAGCAAGTTGAAACACTTTTGGAGGTGATGTTATCAAAATTAATAATTGATATCATCATCTCCAAACTTGCAATACAAATCTTATTGTACAATTCTAAATTATGAATGGTTAACAATCTGAAGGATACAAGAATTCATAGTCCAACACAGTCATATACTCATTGTCCGTAAGAGAAATGTCCCCAAGATTCTCCACAAGCTGTAGCGAGTTGGTAATAGAAAATGGATGTTGCTGATTCCTAGCATGGAAGAAGTTGACTAGCTGCTTTTCAATCAAGAATGTTGGGGAGCTATATTTTTCAATCACTGGATGTATCTGGTTTCCTGGTTTATGTGTCATATATACAAGACAACAAGATGTTAATGTCCAAAACTATTATCAAAACATCGATGAATAGGCACACAGTGAAACACCTTGAGAAGTTGGAAATCTTCAAGGCACACACAATAACTGTTGAATAAACCATAGGGAAGCGAACGCATTGTCTATCGCTTAGAGATCATTTTACAATAGTTAATGATGCTAACGAATTATGCTAGTTTTGATGTTATATCTTATTTATTCTTTTTCACTACATTTTGGCCTTATTTATTTATTTATCTATATTTCAGCTGCAAGGGCATCTTCCATTAATTTTTCATTTTTATATTTATTCTGAAATCATTTTATGTTCCACTTTTTTCTGAACTGATGAAGATCGTTAAAAACGATTGAAAACGTTTTTATTATATTAAATTTTTGCTGGATTAAGATGTAGTTTTTTAATACTTGTCTGGTTGGAACACCATAAATTTTTCATTTTAATAGATGAAACAAAAAGTACTGTTTAAAACTTTCTAAAACTTATACATTGTATACTACAAACTATATTCTATGTTTGTATACATTTATTTTTGTCTTAAAATAAATACAATCTTCAACAACAACAAGTTGAGTAACTTTTCTGGCAAAAGTTAAAAGTTGTGTGGTGTGCCATCTGTTATGAGATTTTATTTAAAAAGTATTTATATTATTAACAGGCATCAGAACAGAAAATGACTTCAAATTAAGTGAGAATATAACTAACAGCAAGAAAAAAGTGACTAAACTGTGACTGAAATAAAATTAGTTGACCATGATATATATTATTTATTAGGAGTCAAGTCCAAATATTATTTTACGTTTATGGATTTTTTTCGTTAGACGTTATAATTTAGTTTGAGAATGTTATCTTTTGTTTAAAGGACAATAATTTATTTTCATTATTAACTAATAGTAATTACAAATAAAGCAACCATAATTTGTTATTATGACCAGAAAATATCACAAATTGATTTCCAGCTATTGGTGCTGTGGCAAATAGCGTCAACAGCTGAAAATCATTAATTTAGAACTAATGCTTGCACAGAGTCAGACATTTGTGTGCACTTCTTGCGTGTTTGCATGAGAAATTTGTTTCTTGTTTCTGCATAACTGGTGTCACTATTGCAAATTCTGGTCTGAAAAGTTTGTTTTTGTGTTTTTTTTCCCTTTCTTTACTCAGTTTCTTTATGTTTTGTAGAACATAATCATAGACTAATAAGTGCTGGGTTGGTCAGCCAGTTCGATAATTAAACATGGGAGGTGTCTATTAGAAGGTATACAGCATGTCTCTCTAAAAAAAAAAAAAAACTGAAAGAAAAATCACCTGTATATTTACCGTTCTTTCTAATGAGTTATCTTCTTAAATTTTGTAAAGTTAAATTTTTAATTGATTAAAATTATTAATTAGAAAAAGTTTTCAGAGTCATAGAATTATTTAAACTTAAAACAAGACATTTCATTAAATAAAAAACCAGAAACAAAATGCATAACTTTCCATCTGTAAACACGACAACGTAGTAGAATAATTTGTGGCGTAATAAACACTAGTATTGTGTTTTATTCTAAAGACACATGGCATATTACCTTCCACCCCCCATTTTAAAAATAAAAAGGGGGTGGAAGGTAAAGAGGGGGAGGAAACAGTTAAAAATTTTTTACAGTTTGTAGTATCGAAATATGCTTATAAGAGAAGTTTTTAGAACTTTTAACCTTTTAATTTATTTATAATATATACTAGTTATACAAAAATTAAAGCAGGTTTTACGTTTTTAAATTATAAAAAGTGTAACAAAAGGTACGTCTATATATCGTTTATGTACTCATTATTTTATGTAAACTCTCTACTATTATAAGTTAAATATATATATTGTATTTTAGTTGACTGAAGAGGGGAAAAGCCCGAAACGAGTAAAAAACAATGTACCGTATCAACGAATAAAGGAACTTGATGGAAAATTTGCCATGTGTCTTTAGAATAAAACACAATACTAGTGTTTATTACGCCACTTATTATTATAATCTAGACGTGTTAATCCTTAAATATACTTGTATATTGGGCCACAAGTATATATAATATATAGGCTACTTGTGGCCCAAAACTCCTTGACTTCTTCCAATGCGGCCCAGAAAAATAAAAAGGTTGGACACCCCTGCACTAAATAGTTTATTTTATTTTATAATCTTATCATTTCTATCAGTTGTAGTAAACAATTTTTTCCTATTTTTCTGTTATTGCATTTTAAAATAAAATAGTAGTCTATCCGTTAGAAAGTATGCAATACGTCAAAAACTCCGAAATAAATTATTAAAAATTTATATTTATTTATTTTTAATCAAAATCTTGAGTATTTTATACAAAATTTATGCATTCTTATAAAATAAATTTCAGTTCGCCACAACTGTTTTAAATTAACGAAGCGTCAGCGCAAACATCGATATTATCAACAACTATTGACTGTAAAGTAATGTAAATTTTATGCATTATTTTGTATAATATTGTTTCTCTGTTCAAGCAATTTGATTTTTATTTACAATTTTGAAAAAAATACTGTTTAAAGTCACAATACAGCATTTTAATATATGCATTGGATGCTGATTTTATACAATATGTAATAATAAATTTTGTATATTTAAATAAAAGAATAATAAAATTCATATTAAATTTATAAAATTTGTTTTAGGAAAAATTGTGAGCCTATAATCTTAAACAGTATAAAACATTCTACTTTTATAGATATATAGATATACTATGAAGTTTTAACTATTTTCTTTAAAAAAGTTCTGACAATTTACTATTAAAATTAAATAATTAGCATATATTTAGTATATATTAGTGTAGGTATTTTAAATTTTATGGTAACTTGGTAAAATTCATTAGAAATAATTTCACAATAGTTTCATATGTAGAAAATTTTTTATAATTAAATAATATGGAATTCTGAGTGCTTATATTAATCTCTAACAGAATTCCCTTTTTATTCCCTATTTGCTTACATATTGGTGTAAATGATGATGATGATGATTACACAAAGTCACTTCTGTATAGTTTGATAAGTCATTTTTTCAAGGTGTCAGTGCAAAAATTTAAGTTAAATCAATCAAAAATTGATATTTAAATTGCAAATCTTCAAAACAATAATATGCCAGTATTTGTCACACTATAAAGATTATTGATTTTGTATTATTTTAGTTACTGTATCAATAATGATATTTTTATTGTTATATTTTATATAAAAACTAGTTATTACAATTTAACTTTTTTATTTCTGCTAGATATACTTTATTCCAACTATTGTACATCAGAAGAAACCACATACAACGCGTTCATTTACACTAAAAAAAATTCAAAGTAAACATTAAATATGTAGGCCTAATAATTTGGTTATGTACAAGCTTTGGTTTAGGCAACCTGTCCAATGTGTATATGAAGAGATGGGCATAAACAGTAAATCATTCCACATCCCGGACACGAAGTGGCAGAGGAAACATTGGCTAACGCACTGGCTGGACAAGAAACAAAAGAAAACTCGATTACTCTATTTTATCAGTTTAAGAAACATCAAGAAGAATTGCCTTTCCGAGACGATGGCATTCTGAAAAAGGAAAGACTTGTGCAAAATATAATATAATATATACACTATTACTAACCGTGTGCTTTCTTAACTTGATTATTGAGGTATTTCTTCTGTCTTGCACGCGAATTCTGAAACCAAACTTGCGTCACTCGTTTGCTAAGTCCAGTTATCTGAGCTATTCTCTCCAAATCTTGTCCGTCCGGGTTCGAATCCAAATTGAAATTGGCCTGAAGGACTTGAAGTTGCTCCTCGGTGAATGTAGTTCGTACTCTTTTCGTCTTGGCTTTTTGTTGCTGGTCGTGATCGGCATTTTCTATGAAGAAAGAGAAAGATGGATACTAAAAGCATTAACTCAAAAAATGCGTTTTAAAAAACAAAAATAAATAAATACTATAAGATACCTGTTTAATTCGCTTTCATCCCCACCAGATGGCAGGACCGTAAGGAACAAGTCTAAATTTCTAGGACAGATAGGAGAGAGACAACACACCTATGGACGAATCACCGGAAGTTTACTTCTACATCTTCTGCCTGCATCTGGTGGGGAAGACTGGAAATGATCAAAACACCAGTGTTGTCAATAGCTGACACCATATTAGGATCATTTAAAGTAATGTAAATAACCCTAATATAATAACCAGCCAAAGAAAAAAGAAAATCTCGACTTACCGTCATTAGATCCATTTCCGCCGTCTAAGGATTCGAAGTAGTGTAATTTACACAGTACTCTGTTTTCGTGTAATGCAAATTCTTCTCCTGTGGATAGTTGACGTTTGCAGGCGTCGCATGCAAAACAAGCCAAATGGTATACTTGGTCTCGTGCACGCCTTACCCAATCAGATGCATGGATGGTGCGACAACATTTTGCACATTTAGCACCGAATTGTCTGTAGGAAAATTTTGTTTATATAATTTTTTTTTCCATATTTACGATATCGTTTTTAGTTATAACACTATATATTAAATTAGCAATGGTTCATTACTATTTAAATTTTATATTTAGTATATAGTTCTATACATATCTCAAATATAAGATTATTTTGTAGAATAATCTTCTGAAAGTATAAACAAATTAACAAAATAAGTTAAACTCCATATTGATTCTACGAAATGCAAATAAATAACTTAGTTCATGGCACACTGGTGTGCCAGGAGGCAACTGTTAAGAACCACTGAAATAGATATTCGATTTAATAGATAAATATTTCGTATAATTACAATATCTTAATAACTTTCATTTTGATTTCCTTTATTCCCAAATTATAAAACAAGTATTTTTTAAGTTTATTCTTCAAATAAGGAAATTATTTAATACAGTAGACAAATAAATACTCCAATGGCAATCTCCAAACAACAGGCAATTTTTATATTCCCGTCAGTAGCCGTTGTTTAGAAGTTTGACTGCATAACAATTTCATTAGATACCTACTACATTTACACTTATGTTACAGAGAAATTTACGTTATACTATGTAAAAAGCATAGATTTTTGCATTAATTTAGTATATATTGTGTATCAAAATTTGTATTAACATTATATGTAGTCTATATATGCACATATTATATTAAAAAATGCTCTATATTTTATGTAAAACATATAAGTATAGTCCTTTTCTTTCGTTGTCTCCATTCCTACTTTTCATAATAAGTATTGACTATAAGTCATACACATAATCATATCTTTCTTTAATGTAAACACATTCAGTTCACGTGATTAATTTGCACCTTAAATTGTTGAAAGTGTCTTTTTTTTTATTTCGTGAGTCAGAAGAATATCTTCAATTTGACATTATTATCAAAAGAATTATTATCAAAAAAGACTATCTGCAAGCTTATTAACGCCTAACGTAATGATGTTTTACAATGGTGGAATTTCAAAGGGTGTCTTATATATTAAACGTCAAAGCGATCGAAGTGTATAGGCTATATAAGTGCAACTATCTATTTAGGTCGTCATAATAAACACTTGCATTGAGTTCGATCCTCAATTAAGTTAGATTATATGATAACTTTCGTAAAATATGTGCCAAACCTTTAGGATTTCTTGGTCAGCTTAAAGAAATTAATAGATTAGCTTACTATATTTTAAAAATTATAAACTTCCGTTCATAATAAAAGAATTTTTGAAGGAAATTTGTTATGCTTTAGTATAAAATAAATNATTCATCGACCCCTGGAGAACTATTTTCGACCCCAAGGGGTCGATATCGACCACTTTGGGGACCCCTAAAAAGAACAAAGACCTGTTTATTCAGTAATGAATATGGGCCACTATACACGAGGCATACTATCAATGAGGCAATTAATGGTTGCCTGAGGTATTCCTTGCCAAGCTGTGTCCACTGTGGTGGTGGTCCCTTGTGCACCTCACATGTCAGACTAGGTCCCACAGGTATTCAATAGGGGAGAGTTTTGGCAAGGCTACCATCCAGGGAAAGATTGGATTCCATTCAGGCTGGTGAGAGTTTTCCATGTGACATGCAGTTGAGCGTTGTCTTTCTTGAATACTTTCAGGTACAGCCTGCACCAGTGACCAAACCCAAGAGGCCCCACAAATTGTGACATACTGTTCTGCTGTCAGAGTATGGGAAATGTGCACTAGGACTGTCTGCTGATCAAACATGATGCCCATTGTGGAGCTGTTGTGACACTTGGCAAAAAGATCTGGCACTTAGCATTTCCTCGGGAAACTGCCCACTCATCCATGGCCTTCAATCCTCCATGACAGAAGTGGGATTCATTTGTAAACAATACTTAATGCCAATCAATGGTCCAGTTGTGATGACAACACCATGCCAGGTGTGCAGCCTTTTGTTGAGTGGTTAATGTCACCTCGTTGCTTGTTGCTGTGTGTGCAGCCAACTTCATGGAACCTGTAGCAAATGGTTTGGGTGGACACGGATGTATCCATTGATGGTGACGAGTGGCTTCAGATGCCACGTGTCTTAACAAACAAGTCCCAATGGGCTGTTTGGTAAATCTGCCATTCTGTGCACTCGTGTGCTGGTGTGATCCGCTCCCTCTTCGGAATGTTTGCAGATGTTCCTGCATCCATCCTATCACACATCACTGGATGGTACTCATGTTATCCCCAACACGTGGCAATTGTGCACATTAATAAACCAAGGTCTCACAGCTCCAGGATATGGTCTCATTCCATAGCCAATAACTAATGATATTCATCTCGCTGTTGTCTCCTAGGCATTTTCTCCGCTTCGAAATTTCGGCTGCCGCAAACTGTCACTGATAGCATTTAACGCCCGAGCCAGTTGCTGGTCTTTTAAGAGTCCAAAACGTACTCAAATTTAATCATTTGCATCTCTGTCACCTCTGCCGGACCTGCAATTTGCATGTGGATGCGTGCATTCCTTCATGGTGTGATTTTACTTTTGAGTTGTGTATTTTTGGGCTAGAATTAATGTACATTTTAATCAAGTCAAATTTCATTAAAAGTGGACAATTTAAGCAGAATGATCGATTATTTTAGGTCTTCGGCCATTTGCGCTGATTCTTCTACTTCCAGAATTTTAAACCTAATTTCTAATTTTCCATTTTACCACAAGATGATTAAATCTTGTGGTAAAATGGAAAATTAGAAATTAGGTTTAAAATTCTGGAAGTAGAAGAATCAGCGCAAATGGCCGAAGACCTAAAATAATCGATCATTCTGCTTAACCGATATAGTTTGATTTTATATTCAAAATTTTATTTTGAATTTAGTTTTGAGTTTTCAATGTTAATTGATCGGTAACGTTATACATTTTTAGTGAGTGATACAGATCACTACGTTATAGACTATTCGATCAATATACGTGGATTAACAACTTCAATTATGCCAAAACAGGAGAGCAATTTGATCACCAGCATAAGTAAGGATGGAAGACACCCCCTTTTTTGATAAATTCGAATTCTGTAAAGATAAGCTGTATTAAGTAAACACTTTCAAACGTCTAAAAAAAATTGAGATGCTCACCAGTGGCCAAGTGAATAAAACCACTGAACACTGGTCGTAGGTTTGAGCCCCGCCAGGGGCTGGATACGTGGAGTTTTCTGAGTTTTCTTCACGTTTTTAACACCTAAATAGCCACCATTTTCCAATAAAAGTCCTCCTTCGAAATTGCTAGAGGTTACTCGTCCGAATTCGATCTCGGGTCCAGCAGAGATCTTTTCTAACAAAAGAAATAACAATTACTCTAATGAAATAATTAATTATTCGATCATTATCAAACAGAATAGATTTACGGCTTTTGAGTACGGTGAAGATCGGGAATCATCTACTATCTCTTTTTAATATTTGTATGCTAATTAAACCGGATAACAGGACATCAAAAATAGACGAGAAAAATCTATAAAATAAAGCAAAATGTCCTGGAGTCAATATGTAACTAGATTGACAAATATACCTGTTGGTCAAGGAAAATGTATCTTTGCTGCTTTTCACAATTTGAGTGATGGAAAATGTTTTGCTCAGGAACCTTCTCGTAGCCCTAACGTAAGATTTTTGGAGGATCATAAAATAAAGAAAGTAGGCCTAAATATTCGAAAAATATTATCGATAGTTTTATAACTTATTTAGGTGAGTCCGGAAGAAATAAAATGCATCAAAAGAGGGTTCAACTCACCAGGAATACTTTTTACATCCGGAGTCACTTTGAAAGGTCTTCGTTTTGTTTACTTGACTAGCATTGACAATACAATTTTAGCGAGAAAACGAAACCTTGGATGCGTTATCATCAAATGTCCCAAACTCCATGGCAAGTTGCACGTTAATTAAATATTATATCGCTTAATCGAGTGGAATTTAATTTTCTTGTTCCTATTGAATAGCTGTGCTCATCGGAATCTATTCTTGTAATGAAACTGTCAATAATGTCTTCAAACAAATGGCAGAAATTGTGGAGAGTTGCAATTATCCTTCTATTTAGGCTTATATGTCAACAGATATAATAAAATAAATTTCTTGATTTAAACATTGGAAAGACAATTGCAAGAATTCATGTGTATGAAATTGTAAATTATTTTCTATTATGGACGATGGGATAAACATCATCACGAAGTTTGTCAGATGTTATTTTCTTTCTGATGACATTAAATTCCTCTAGAAATATTTCAATTTATCGATTTACTACTATTAAAATTAATAAAATAATATAAATAATTTTAAATAAAGTAAAATAATTTAAAGTTTATTTCTGTGTAAAATATATATATAATAAGCGGAATAACTCGGTTTCGCAGAACCCCTCAAAGCAGGAGCACCTGAAATTAATTATTTTAATTTATATAATGTTTAAAATATTAATGTAAAGATTATCAAATATAAATTTTATTCATGTACTTTAATCTATAACAAAATGATAATCCCGTTGATGGTTTGATTTTATCTACTGTACAGTAAAAGCTAAAGATAACTGCAAATGCAACGCTTATGCATTGATAACATCAAGCTACGCAATGACGACATTAACATTTTGTCCCATGTCAATAGCAAAGCCTTTTGGAGTTGAGCAATAGCGTCAAACTGCCCATCACTGTGGAAGACATCGTGCACCAGTTTATACCGTTTCAATAGGATTGCGACCGGGGAAACTGCTGTCCATGGCAACAACTCCATATGATGATCAGAAAACCAATTTAGAGTAGAACAGGCTTTGTGGAATTATCTCTTGATATGATGCTTAAATTTGGAAGTAATTCTTCCTTAAGCATATCTTGATAACGTTCATTCGGCCTGAAACTATGACTAAATTTGATTTTCCAATCCTTCCGAATGTCTCCACATCATAAGTGATGCTCCTCTTTGCTGTAATTCTATGAGGAATAGGAATGAAATCGGTTCATGCCCGTCTCATTTCCCTTCTTTTTCGTCCGAAAAAAATTACGTCAAATTGTTGATGGGTTCAGGAGACAAGATTGATGACAAATTGCAACCGTGCCTGCTGACGATAATTTTTCCAATTCGTCTGTACCTGACCTATGGTTATAGACATATCAATATGTTTTCTTTCAGTAAAGCTTTATCAATAATTTAGTAACTTTTATGTACTCAGCGTTTAGTGTGTGTATCCATACCAGGGCTGTGGAGTCGGAGTCGGAGTCGTGGAGTTTTGGTGTTTTAGCCGGAGTCGGAGTCGGCGGATATTTTGACGACTCCGACTCCCTTTTACTTACCAACTTGTTATGTAGTCTATATGAAACGGAGTCGGAGTCGGAGTCGGATGATAAGGAAAAGTCGGAGTCGGAGTTAGAGTCGGTAGATTTTTACGTAACTCTACAGCCCTGATCCATACACTCCAAACAGTTATATACAAGTTATATAAAGGTATTGCAGGGCAGCGTAATGCAAAGACATTGGTTCAAAATATTCACTGTACGCTAAAGTTTTTTTTTATATTGTAGTTTGGATGAACGCCATGAGCTCTTACTGACATCATATTTATATGGATTTCGAACAACTTTAACCGAGTGTTCAAGTGAACGTGCAATTTGTCGAATGTTCGAAGCCTTCCTTTAGTCTGTCTGTCTGATTTCTATTTCGGGCTCATCCCTTTCACTCCTCAGGAAATAACAGTCTCACGACAGAGTCCATCTTTTTTTATGGGCTTTTCGTTTGCGTCAATATGTAAAACGTTAAAAATATTTCCTGTAGTGAGAGCACAATTAAAATTTTAGCAATGAGTTTCATAACTTTCTCCATAAGAGTTAAAAATTGTGTGCGGCGCCATGTTATGAGGTTTTATTTTAATAAAAGTTTTTATATTATTAATTATTATAAAATAACAAAAAGCTTAAATTTGTGGGTAAAGACAAGTTTCATACAAAAAATTGTAAATGCTAATAACGAATAAAATCTTCATTAAGTCCGTCCCCACTCGAGATACGACACATTATCCCCTCTATCTTCCCCCTACCTTGACCACCAAAATTTAATGACATCAATACCCCTAATACAAAAGCCTCCTAGCAAAATTTCAGAAATGTTCGGCAAAAGACACAGGAGTTATTAAGCTTCAAAGAGGGTGAACAAAATCGTGATGCCAACATAGACACATACAAACGTCCATAGATAGAGAAAAAAATCCCAATTTTTTTTCCATTTCTCCACGTTTCAAGGTTCTCTGAATCTAGAAAATGTAAAAATCTTGGTGATGGACTATTTTAAATCTCATTATGCCCTCAAGATTTTTATATTTTTGGACTCAGAGGACTCGTAACGGCCTTTTAAAAGAAGACTGTAATGCTCACAGAACGTAAAGAGATCTAAAAAAAGTTCTTTATATAAAGTCATTTTATTTCTTATATAAATCATAAATAAGATTATAATTAACTTGTTCTGTAAGTGCACATTTAAAGTTCTTACGTATATACTGTAGTAACGTTTTTCCATTCCAATATTTATGAACAGCAGTACTTTAACTCGTGTAACTTTTTAAACATTAAGTGTATAACAATAAATAGTAACAAATAAAAGTAAAGTGACTGTAAAAAGTTCACAATACTAAATCGTAATAAAAAGTCACTTTTTATTACGGTTTAGTATTGTTAAATAATAGTGTTGTATAAAAATGCGATCACAAACGTCTTCATAAAACACAGGGTTATTCCGCGGATAATTCGCATGGTAAATCCAGGGATCTTACCGGTTTACAGCTTAAAAAGTAAACCAAATTTGAGACTCAATGATGTGCTTGACTTACAAGAACTGCTTTATCTTCAATGTCCGTATTGTCTGGCTTTTTCCGTATCCGGCTCAGCCATCCACCACATAAACCCGGATAATCAGTAAAGGGCCTAAAACCACAAAATAAAAAAAAACCAAAATAAAAAATTCTGTTCGCGACTCTTCTTAATTTAATAACAATTTTCGAAGTTACTTCCTCCTGTCATGTTTTATCGACCTACTTCAGAACTATTCAAGCCGGAAAATTACGGCCGAAGGAAGTGCCGGATTGTCCACTGGGCACGTGAGGTACATGCCTGGTCTCGAATGCCCCAAAATTAGAATATGTATACAAAATTACAATGATAAGATTGTTGTATCATAATTTATAAATAATTCTATAGTGACAATTAGACGTTATCAGTTTTTTATGTAAAATAATATAGAGGAACCCCAATCTTCTGTGACTGTTCTGCGTATAGAAAGAATCAACTTGGGTTGATGAGCATCAGCCTTGATCGCTTATTTGTGGCAAGTTACTTCCGGTTTCTTCCTCATTTGTTAAACATGTCACAGCCATAATAAACAGTTTTATGGAAGCTTCACATTCTGGTATTGGAACACGAAAAAGTTTGCTATGGTAGTTGTTAAGTTCATTATTCTTTATAGTTAATGCATGCTATAAACAATTAACATAATTAATGGAAATCTGCCATCTAGTAAGAGAAATAAAATTTACATATTGCCTGACATATTAAGCGAAAAGTCATCATTAAGGAATGTGCTGATTGGTTTAACATACGCGTGACGTTGCTCTCAAGTCGATTCTTTCCATATACTGTATTACTCCGTCACTGGCTGAATGATGCACTAAATCAGGGATGTCCAACCCGCGGCCCAAGGCAAGTTCCAATGCGGCCCAATAAATATGTAAACAAAACCAACAAACGTTTTAATTTTTTTATTATTTATTTTTTTCAACCGCATAAACTCAAAAAAGAAGTTTCACAAAGTCGAAAACCTTTATTCATATTTTATTTTTGAGTGGAAAAGAAATATTTTCAAATATTTGGAGATATGTGAATGAGGAAGGATTACTAAATAAAGCTGGAGTTGTGACTCAAAGGAGTGTAGACCCAAATTTGGGGGAAGGAGGGAAAGGAGAAAAAGGACAAAATATAAAAAATAGTGAGAGAGGTTAAATAGATCTTCTGTTTTGCAAATATTGACCTTTAATTTTTCAACCTTTCTCACTTCTTTATCTTCTCTCCTTTCCCCGCATTTGGGTATATAATCCTTTGAGTCACAACTTCAGCTTTATTTAGTATTTCTTCCAACGTTGGAAGATTTGGCTACATTGCGCCAAATGTGGGTA